GACTGTCACCAGAGCTGTCACCATGCCTCTACCAGCCACAGGAGGATGGCTCGGAAGGAAACGCTACCACCTACCCATGTTGGCATTTCCAGAGAACTCCAGGCTGCCCTGGACAGTTTGTACACTTGTACCTAATCAGTCAAAAAAGAGAACTGGCTCCACACAAGTGTTATCAAAACCCCAAACAAATCTCTGTAACCTTATTAAAACAAAGCCACGCAGACAAAAAACACCTTTCAGACAGACCTGCACTTCAAACCAGTGTTTCTTACAGTGATAATACAAGACTGGGGGGAGTGGCTGATACACCTGAAGGCTGTGCTGCCATTCACTGGGACCTTGAGAGGTTGGAGAGCTGGGCACAGAGACACCTCTAATGAGGTTCTATAAGTGTAGGGTCCTGCACCTGGGGAGGAATAACCCCTAGTACCAGTACAGGTTGGGGGTGACCTCCTAGAGAGCAGTTCTGCAACAAGAACTCCACATCTGGAGTACTGTGCCCAGTTCTGGGCTCCTCAGTACAAGAAAGACAAGGAGTTACTGGGGAGGGTCCAGTAGAGGGCATAAAGATGATTAAGGGCTTGAAGCATCTCAGGGAAGACTGAGAAGGGATCTCATCAACGCACACAAATATCTCAAAATGCCAAGAGGATGCTGCCAGGCTCTTTTCGGTGGTGCCCAGTGACAGGACAAGGAGCAATGGCCACAAACTAAACACAAGAAATTCCACTTCAACATGGGGAAGAACTTCCTTATGTTGAGGAGGGCAGAGCACTGTAACAGTTGCCCAGGGAGGTTGAGGAGTCTCCCTCTCTGGAGACATTCCAAACCCACCTGGACATGTTCTTGTGTCACCTGCTCCAGGTGACCCTGCCTTGGCAGGAGGGTTGGACTGGATGATCTCCAGAGGTCCCTCCCAACCTTAACAATTCTCTGATTCTGTATTCCTACCCACACCTCAAGTCCAACACAGTAAAGCAGCTTTGCTGCAAGTTCAACTCATAGAACATGTCCACATTCACCTTAATCTCTTGCACAGATACTGAAATTGGAAAAGCTTTTGAATGTCACATATATTTGACCTTATTTTTGGGCTAATGCTCACTTACGGAAATGCCATGCTAAGTGTTATTATCTTGTAAAAATAAAGGGAAACTTACAGGAAACAGACATCCCATCTTATGGAAGACACTTTCACTGAAGTATAACCTTACAGCTCCCCAGAGCTTAGGAAAGAAAATAATTCCTCAAATTAAGTGTTTATGTTTATAATCATATTAATCTGCAAGATAGGCAGCTGGTTCCAGTGCTCAAAACCTTCACTAATCATCACAGCTTAGTGATGAACACAAAGGAACAGTCTATCTTCCCAAATCCAAACTGGCATAACCATTTTATCCACATTCCTGAAATCCTACCTTTTGGGAAGAACTGATTCCGGAGAAACAATCTGCTTTCATTTCACAACTAAATGCCTATACTGCACTGAGACAGTGAACAGACATCTCTCACATTCAGGTATAACTGAGTACAACAGGTAAAAGAGAATCAGTTGATTAACAGAAGGAGGATCTCAAAACTCACACTACGCAAACCAGAGTCCTTGGAGTCCCCTGAGCCACGGTGCTGGTGACAAAAATACTGCTGCAAAAAGCAATTCCCATTAATAAAGAGCAATGTTTCTAATTCACTGTGAAATAAACTGAAATGAAAAGGCATTACTAATTTGTCCTTCCAGTGCTGCCTTGCATCAGAATCAAGACAGTGATACCATCACCCTCCAGCACTAAAAGCTGTTTCCAACAACTCAAATATACTCAGAGTAATTAAAGAACACAATGTGCTGAAACCTTCAGTACTTCAATAATAGCACTTTTCACTAACAGGTTGAGGCAGAAACATCAGCTATTTTTGAACTGAAGCTCTGAAACAGTACCTACTCATGATACATTTAAAACAGTGGCCCAGTCCTGGTTCAATAGAAAAAATCCTGTTGACTTCAAAGGAGAAGCACTGACCTATAGAAGTTGCAAAAAACACAAAACATTTTAGTCCTACAAAATCCATATGAATTGACCTTGCTAAAACATTTCTGAAAGAGCAAGGAAAACACTCTTTGAGCACAAAAATAAGCTTGAAGAAGAAAGGCACCATTTACCTGCTGGGGAGAAGGAAGAAGTGAAGGGCCGTACTGAAAGCCAAGATGTCAGTTAAACACAGAAACGACGAAGAGCCAGGTCTGTTAATGACAGGAGACTGCCCAGGGAGGCAGTGGAGCCCCAGCACTGGAATTGTTAAGGGTGGGTTGGGTAAAACACCTGCCAGAAAGGCACAGGTGCCTCCCAGCAGCAAACAGGTCAGAGAGGATCCCCTCCAACCTTCTCATCTACAGTGAACTTGAAGAGAGCTGCACTGCAGGAAGACCACAGCAGATGCAGCACAGCACTGGGGGACTGTTCCCCACCCACGTGAGCATTGGATTGAAACGACACAACTGAAAGAGAAGAGGGGCAACCTGGACCAGTGGGGAGGGCACTGGGGTGTGAGCTGGGGAGCCAGAGCTGAGGCTGAAGGCTGTACCTGAGGGGCCAGGGCCCGTCACCCACACAGCAGCTCTCCCCCTCTCAGCCTTTATCTTCTCCAGCTTTCCCACAGAGGGTTGCTCTGAGGGCACAGGCGGGGTGAGGGTGACAGCGAGCACAGAACCTCTGTGCGTCAGCAAAACAAACCCGCTGAAAATACATCAAGAACTGTGGTTGCCTGTAAACTTTTACAGCCTTGGAGACCCGTTCGATAGCGCTTTAGGGCAGATGGAGTGGGTGGAAGGAAGGGGAGGGTGGCACACCACATTTGGGGCACAGTTACTCAAATCTAGCTTATTGATGGCTCACAGTCAAAGCATTTTGAAAGCATATGGGATCAATACTCCAACCAGCACAGCCCACGAGAGGGGACTCCTGTGAGAGGGGGCCTCTCGCACAGATCACCAAAAAAATCACAGCAGACAAAATTATTCTCATAATGTCACACAGGATTGCAGCACAGGAGACATATGGGAGTGTTAATCAGCCAAACAGAAAAACCACCAGTGGAGTTTCTAAGAATTAAAGCTGACTGGGGGGGACTGTGTACCCAGAATTAAGTTCTGGGTTTGGGCCCAGAGAGAAAGATGTGTTGGGCCACAGGATGGAAACACTTGAAAGATCAGTTCACATTTTGTATAGACAAACAAAAGGGCAACCCCAGTCAAAAAGCTATCTCCAGGGTTTTAAAAGGGTTAATTTCACATAAAGAAGAAAATTTTACTGAACTAATTGGAAGAGAAAATGTACAGAGAAAAAAAATGCAGGACTGAAAATAGACAGTTCTTTAAAAGGAATTCATTAGAAGGCTGAAAATTCATGTTTCTGTGAGAGGGCTGTTTTAACTAAACCCCTGCTGATCAGTAACTGTATAGGTCAGACTAGATGTTCACAGTTAAATTTTTTAATTGTGACATAGGAAATGCTATTTTTAAGTCATTCAGGAAATGAGGAGAAATTGTGCATTTGCATCAGACAAAAGAAAGAGAAGATATTACATGACATTTCCTTGGGTTGAACACATAAGTCAGACCACTCAGCCCATTTACACCCACAAGCCCTACAAAGTTTTGGCTCCCCAACGTGCAGTAACATTCCAGAAACCTGGAGGGAGGCCAGTGTGCTCCTCCAAAGACACGTGCTGCACACACAGGCAGGAAAGACAGCTGGGGCAATGTAAGTTTGGTAAGGCTTTTGTTGACTGGATAACCACTCTGAACAACAAATAAGGATTTCACAGCTTCAATACTGTGAACAACAGGTAGAATAAAACTGCTGATAGGTCTAAAAGAGGTTATTGGAGAATAAAGATTGAGTAATCTTATTATACACCCTCAGAGACCAGTTTTAGCCCCAACACTGGTCAACATCTCAATCTAGAAACAAATATAAAAAGGATCCATTAAACCTGGCAGATTAGCCAAGCAACAAATGACAAGGACAGTGCAGTCAGGGAGTGTGCTCTGGCTCCCTGGGCAGGCTGGGCCTGTCCAGGTGAGATGTGCTGCACTGCAACCACACCAGAATTTGTGCATCTGAGAACCAGGAATGCAAACACTGCTGTCAGGAATGCACCAAACTTTGACACTGCAAGGGATGATGAGGTCAGAGCAGGTAAGCAACTATGCAAAGAGCAGGGATAAGAGGGCTAATGCGATTATGGGATGTGCAGAAGGAGAAACAGAGCAGGACTCTGCAGGAGATTTTACCTCCATATACTGAAAGCATGTGTAGAGCGTATGGTCTTAAAATTATACTTAAATTCTACAGCATACTTAGAAAAGAGACTGAAAAGACTGGTTTACACTGGGGAAAAAGTCTAAGTGAGGAACTTAAAAAGCTTTATCTACTTAGTTTATCAAAAGGTAAATTTAGGTGATGGTTCTCAGTGTGAACTGAACTTTTGTCTCAAGACAAAAAAGCAGAGGTACCAATGAAACCTTTAAGAGAGCAAGCTTTAGCTATAAACTTCTCACAACCGAAGCTAGATAAATTCAAGGAAGTAATAAAGTGTGACTTTTCCCAACAATAGAGGCAATTAACCTTTAGTTTAATAATGGTACCAGCAGTGCAAAGTAAAAGTAATGAGTTTTCAGTGTTATATGTCTTTACATTAAAACTGGATACCACACAGATTATTTGCTTCAGGTAAATGGAAGTTTCTGGGTCTGGGCAAAACTGCACAGCTTATTACAAGAGATTTGCCAGGATCATCTTCCAGTTTTTAACTCAACATATTTATAATAATACAGGAAAAGAGCAGCACAACCTATTGCTGTCAGTAACATCTGCATAACCCCTCTTTGCTGGGGTAAGGGTGACAGGTTATAACTCAATCTTGCATCTGAAGTGTCAAATGCATTCCATAACTAAGGCAAATCAAAGCTCCAGCCTCCCCTGGCCCCCCAGACAACTTACTCCGAGATGTGTACGAAGATGTCTGGCCCTCCATCTGCAGGGGTGATGAAACCATGGCCTTTGGAGCGACAGAAGCACTTACAGACACCTTTGTAGATGGGACCCTCCGATGCCCTCACGGTTCTGCAGGAGGAAGCACAGGAAGAGCAGGTTATGGCTGAGCACAGACACCGAGCACAGCTCCAGGCGTGTCAGCCAGAGCAAACAGGCAAAAGGGCACAACGGGCCAAACGCTCCCAGTGAGCAAACTCCTCTGCAGGAACTGCCCAATACTCATTTTCATGCACTGCACATGCTTTGCCTGTGGCCCTTTTAAGGGAGATAAAGATGAGGAAGGTGTTTCCTTGCACTGTAATCCATCAGTTGCCATCTTGAATTCATCTGCTCTGTCGCTGTGCCACATTTTCTTTCAGAACACCACACTAAGTGTGCACCTCTCCCACCTTTCCTGAGTTGGGGAGTACCAGCGTGCCCCAGAGCGTTGTGCTTTCACATATTTCACAGTGTGTGCATGTAGGATGGAGAGAGTGCAGTGCACAGAGACATGTACAGTGTGTACACACACCCCACTCATACCCTGCCAGACTAGGATGCACTGAAGCCAGTATTTCACCTCCCAATGACTCCAGCAGGCTGTGAAGCCAAACTGGTGTGCATAACACCAAGACTCCAGGCTGAACTCCTCCTCCACTGGCACAGGACCTGTATTTTAAAATGAGATTTGCAGACCGAGCTTTAGGATGACTCACTGCCATCAAGAAAAGGGACTTGCGTGAACAATGACCCACCCTGAAAAGTGTGTGATTAAATTCTTTTCCCCATCAAATACACTGAGTGGAACCTCCAGGCATCCAAACTCACTCAAACACTTTCCTTAATGAAGCCAACTGTTTTAGACATCTTACAGAGTCTACACTGAGGAGTTACTAGATCAGGACTTTCTCATGCCACGAGTATCAGTAGGTTGCTCCCACGTGAGAGGAGGATTTTGGTACAATTCAGTAAGTGACTGTGTTGCCATTTGGTTACGTGCATCACGGCAACTTTGACATCACTTTCCCAAATGTTCTAATTTGTTTAAATAAAGTTTAAATAAAATTGTTAACAAAAAAAGTGGTAAGCTCTGTTCCTTAAGTCAAACTAATGCTAAAAAAATACAGTTAAAGTGCTAAAGAGAAATCTCCATTAAATCACTTCATTTCCAGCTCTATAAAGCTGTCAGAGCACCTGACCTCACAAGTGCTTGTTACACTGAAAAGCACTCGATGTCCTAAACAAGCCATTAAAGTTCAATTGCATCTTTCAAGGAGATAAAGCACTGTGGGGGATGAGGCCCCACACTTCCAATGAACCAAAATTAAATAATCCCACTGAATAATAAACTACTGTCTGTCACATTCATCTTTTCTATACAACTGTGGGGCCAGAGCTCACCTAGAGCTCCCCTTGTTTAAAGAGGACACACACAAAAAAATTCAGAGCTATTTTGATTTTCAGGGCAAACAAATACAGCAAGAATCCTACACTAATTAATGATTAAAGAACTGCGGAAGCCAAATAATAAATTCTTTCATTTTGTAAGAACCAGACTAAGATTAACAGCTGAGAAGACTTACAAAGAGTTCATTATTAACACAGCACTGAGACAAGCTAGCTTGGACTTGCTTTTCAAGGGCAACCCCAATTATTAAGTCAATTATGTTCCTTTTAGTAATCTACTTCCATTAGAAATTTCAGGGCATTTGAAGGCTTTTGGAACTGACAACATATAAACTTTTCTTGTGCTGCTGATGATACTCTTTCTGCCTCATTTTAAATACAGAAGTAATAATATGAAGCATCACTGAGATTATTATTTAAATCCACATGGATCACTCTGGAAGAAAAGAGCTGGGTAAAACTGCAAAAGCAAAAAGGAAAAAGCCACCAGAAAAAACTCCATCCAGATAAAGTGGCACAAAGCAGGCTAGCTGTGGGGCTGAGCTCTTACTGCCACAGTGCTTCACGCAGCACTGCCAGACCTCCCTTACACAGACTGGTTGAACTGCAAGGATTGACCACAGCTCCACATAATGCCCTCAGACCCCAATCCAAAAGCTCAGAGATTAACAAAGAAGCCCACATTGCCTTCTCTGCAGGTCAGCCCCTCACTGGGAGGACCATCACAGGCACTGGGAATTCTTTGCAATGGTCAAACCTTGCAACACCATCCTCTGCTGCTGTTGGAGGAGTCCCCTTCAGACAGGACTTCCCGGAGCCTGCACAGCATCACGGGGCCACAGGAAAGCTCAGGGGGAGGCAGCTCAGCTGGATCACTACTTCAAATAACTACAAATGCAACAAACCTCATCTCATTTTATGGAAAATCTCATTGAAGAAACCCTCAGAGACAGAGATCAGGGTTCATACCTTGAAAACCGACATATTCTTTTACAGGTCTGTCTGAACAATCTGAAGATGGATCTATGAAAGACGGACAGGAAAAGGAAACAAGGAAGCACTTTCCTCTGGAAAGTGATGGAGCATCCCTAAAATGTAACCGGGATGAGGTGTCAGGAGTAAAAGAACTAAAACTTCCAGTGAGGTCTGATCCAGTGCTCCAGGGTCAGAGAGGAGAGAGATCATGACAAAAAAAGGTCTGGATCTAATGAACAAACACCAACAGGAACTTGTCCCAGGAGCCATAACCCAGTGTTTGAAGTGACCCAAAGCTTCAGATAAGAACTATGTTTTGAGAATTCTCAGTGTACTTTCCCCTCCCTGTAAAACTCCGGTCTTAAAGAGTGCAAGAGACTTTGAACATCCTTTACCAAAGCAGAGCACTGAAAAACTACAGGAGATTTGGACTGAAAGTCTAGTGGCATCAGAATTTTTTTGGAGAAGAGACAACAGTAAAATACCAGAGCATCTTCTAGATGCAAACAACCACCTCCCCCATCCCCCCGACTGCCTTCCCTGATCGTTCTGCCCGAGGGCAGTGGTTTGTTTGTGTCTGTGAAAGGCAGGTTTCCCCGTACTCACGCAGAAAACGTCCTGGTCCGTCGGGTGGGCAGCGGGCTGGGGATGAGGTACCTCATGGGCGACGGGGAGCGGTCCCTCGCCCTGCGGCTCTCGGGCAGATGGAGAGAACCGGGAGAGGGTGGAGAGGCAGGAGACTGCTGGGAGGCGGATGAAGTGGGCTCAGAAGACATTCCTGATGCCTGGGAAAAGCCTGGGGAGAGGAAGAGATCTAACTGAGCCCAAAATGGGAATTGTCATAAAAGTCACAAATTCTTCAGATGATGGTTTTGTAAGAACATGACTCACTTCCTGCCGACGTACACACGGACACAGTTGCACCAAAAGCTCCTGCTCTGTATCAGCGAGTTCAGGGGTTTTAAAATTTATTTGTTTTTAAATGTCACAGCTTTTGTCAGCTGTACTAGGAAGCTCCACTGAAAACAGATTACTCCACAATTAACGTATTTGCTTACTCCTGCCTCACCCACGGGCTCCTGATGTAGAGCTCAGCCCCAGCACGAGGTACTGGTGTGCCCCACACAGCTCCCAGACGGGTGGGGTTTGACCACCGACAGCACAGAGGAGCCACCCGCATCTGCACACATTACAAGCACGAATCACTCGAAGAGGAAATGCTGAGATAAAGGCTGCACCTCCACTGCTGGAGGTTGGTTTCCTGGTGCCATCACCTATTAACACAGCTCTGCCAGCTCGTAACACCTTCAGCCTGACTGCAAGTGCTCCTTAATTCAGTTCAGACTGAGTCAGACAGGTAATTTACTCTGCCAAGGACAGGAACACAGACAAAGCTGGGAGGCGGTGGCTGACCATGAAGAGGTGACCCCTCCCACCCGGAGGGATCTGGCACACCCAGCAATCTCCCTTGGTAGGTCTGAGTCTGCTACAATCTCCCAGGAACTGGGAAGCCAATAGTCCAGATCCCCTGCAGCCTCAGGTTTGCCCTTATTCAGGTCCTACCACTGAGGAGGGAGAAGATCCCCTTCTCAGCACATCACCACCAATATGTGTCTCATCACACAACAAGCAGAACTCCCAGAATCCATGGAAAGGGAAAGATGAGGAACAGCAGCACTTCTATGCAGATAAATGCATGACTTACAGGTGCAGCAGTGACAAAAATAAGAGGAATCAATCAGCACTGCTCTGTTATTACTATACAAGTCCCCATCCACACTGGAAGGAGAATAAGATGTACAAAAATAACCAATAACCCACTACACTCTAACTTAAGAAGACTAAAAATATCTGGTTATCTGGATGAGTTAGCAAAAAAAATGTGGCGATCTGGGTCAAGAAAATATCATGAAGGCAAGAAAAGTTACTTTTAAGACCAATGGTTTAATTGAACTTAAATCTCTCACATCCATTATGCACCCTCCTTTTGACACCCACACAACCCAGCCCATGAATTATGGAGAGGATCCTTCACATGCCATTTGAGAGATGCAGCCTTCTTGTCAATGACAAATTCATATTATTTCTTCCTGAAACTAAGGACTAAAATTAAAAGGGCCTCTTAAGAATGAAGTCACCAGGGAACAAAGGCTTTTGTCTTTAATTGCTCCGGGTGCTGAGAAGATAGAAGTGGATAGTCATGTTCCCTCCTGTACCAGCTTGAGCTTTCCACACTGTTCTCAAGAGCAACAACTCAGCTGAGAACAAAACCCCAGCTTTAAGGAAGTCATTTCAAATATGGATGGCATTTGTCACCCATGAGCTAATGCCCTGCTCAGTGTCACAGCACAGTGTTCAGCTGAGACCGAGATGATAACACCAATGGGCTGGAATTTTCCAAATTTCCTCTTCCTCCAAAGAGGCCTCCTGTGCTGGCTGGTACTGAGGAAGTCTCCTGGGCTTTCTAAAGACCTCTCCTTTGGGTGCTTTGCTTTCAAGGAATGCACGTTTGACATACGAGGACTATAGCCCTAATAAGCCAAAGGAAAACTAAGAGCAAACAATTAAAACCTCATTCTGATAACTCAGCACACATGGTCTGGCCTCTGCACAAGTGAAAACGCAGCTTTCAGAATCACACGCTTTCTCTCCTCATCTAAATATAAACCAGCTTGTCAGGTGACAAGCAAAATGCAAAGCATTCACCCATCCACTGCAATACAACCACAAAGTACTGCCCATCCCCTTCCTCAAACAAGGGTAGAGAGGCAGAATTTTCCCTCCTTTCTTTAAAACACAGATGAACCACAAAAATATTTACAAGTAAAGAAGTCTAAATGGAGTTAGAAGAGTGCTAACGTATGTTATTGTTCCCATTTGTATTATTTTTGTGCCCTTTGCCCTGTAAAGATAAAATAACACAGTGATGCAGAACATTCGGTACCATTTCATTGTACAAATACCCTTTTTGTTCTCTGCCCACAGCCAAGGTAGATGAATATCCTCGACTCTCATAATTTCTATTACACGAGTCCTAAACCGTGATCAGAGCTGGGGGAGAGCTGACACAAATGCTCACAGCTGGAGGCAGCCACAGCAGCCACGCTTCACTTCACACCCACCACAGCCAGCGAGGGCAGCTCGGAGAAGAGGGCAGGCAGAGCAGCAGCCAGAGGAAACCTGTGGCTCCACTGCAGCTCAGCTGCACTCTGTATTGGCACATATCACTGCAGGGGCGAGGGCACTGGCACATCCCTTTGCCCCTTGGGCTTCTCTGAGGATTGCAAAAATCAGACACAGTGAAAAGGACTGGAGACTGAATGGCCAAGTTTTATGGTGTGTGTAGAGCGGGATGTCAGCAGCTCCCGGCTCCTGCAACACTCAGTGAGAAGAGCATTTCATCCGAGCCTTTTCAAAGGCAAAGGTGGAGTTTGGCTATTTTGGTTTGTGCTGGTATGGCCACTTCTTGACGTTGTTCACATCCCTTCTGAAGGAGCAGAGCTCTCCCCAGCTTGCAGGCACAGCCAGAGGCACTAGGAGGCTGGGCAGTGTTGATGTGGGAACCCCACAGCAAACAGTCACACAAACCAAAACCCAGGCCCCAACTCTCCCAGCCTTCCTCTTCATGAATGCTTTGCCTTCCAGTTAACTGGCAGTCTTCAAAGATGCTTTCCAGATGCTCTCCTGGGTCCTGAACTGACCCTGGGACTCAGACAGCTGCCTACCTGTCCCTTCTCATCACCCATGAATTCCTTCCCCTCCTTGTGATCAGCTGAACAAACCCACTTTCTTACATCTCTCACAAGCCCACCACCTCCCAAGCCTGCTTCCATGAGTTACCCCCATCCCTCCAGTCCAGCCACCACTCTCCACTTTGCCATGGCAAGGAAGGCATCCCATGAACCCCAGAGGTGCTCCCTGCCCTGAGCTCCCCAGGAGCCTCCTGCTGTCCTTGTGAAGGCAGCCAGCACTTCACAGCAGCAAACCAGAGCTCCTGAAAGCCCAGCAGTGTGAGATTCCAGCTATGCCAAACATGAGGGACAGTACAGACAGTACCTCTCTCCTGATTGAGCCAGCAAAACATTTGCCTGCGGGTATTTACAGAATGAATGTAACATGACGTAAGGTGGTGATGTTTTGAGGCTCTTTAGGAAATTCCAACCACGTGCCACATCACCCTTCAACTTATTGAACTTCCCACATTTCAACATCCGTCATTATCTTTTTCCAACATGATTTTTTTTAATTTTTCTGTTTAGGAATGCACCGAATTAAAACATAAATAAAATAAATCACGCTGGCATCATGGAAACAATAGACTAATTTAACATTTCAAGGCAAAAATATCTTTTTTTTACCACGCTTTTTTGAGAACGATTGGCCAATGTGTACAGAAAGAGACCCCAAAATGTCATCTGTAACAGGTGACCTAAAAAGCACCTGTAACAAGTGAACTACAAAGAGCACAATACATGCAGGAGGAATTTCTGAAATTCTCCATGAAATATAGCAAAAAACCCCTGCTGAAGTTATTAAGGTTGGGGGTATATAAATGCCATCATAATTTCTCTATATATGTATACATCCTATTCATCTTTAAGTCTACTCCGTACCTCTAAAAATACCCTAAAAATAGCAGTTTTGGGGAAGTTATCCATTCTGACCAGCACAACGCTATCACATGAATCCTGTCTCATTTTTAATTAATGCAATTTCCTGGAAAAAGAAGTCCAAATGGATATGGCAGGGTGACAGACTCCAAGAAATCTATCTATCAACAGTTTCCTTTTCACACAACAAACTGCGACACCTCCAGTGAGCAGGCACAGAGCTCGTCCCCAGGGAACACTGCTCTGAAGGAAATGCTCCTTCTGGCCTCCTTAGTCTGGAGGAGCTGCTTTCAGAAGGTACCACAATGGTCCATGAACAGGACAGCACTGGTTACACTTGCCTGGAAAACGAGGTCTTTCCTCAAAAGAGAGAGCAAGGTTCCTGTACCCCAAGAGCAGCCACTTTCAGATGGGTTTTGCTGCCAGTTCGCTCTTTCATTTCAACCTCTAAAAGGAATGTGGACATATGAAATTTTGATTGTTTTCTGGGATTTTCCTGGATTCAGAAACACCACCAGAAACTCTTTTTAAGTGACTCACTTTCAAATGTCCTGGTTTCCAAATTTATTCTGCGCAGCTGCATTTCTTTCCTTCTCCTAAGGAAGCCGTGCAAATAAACTCCTCAGCTTCACCTGCCCTTCTGCTGACACCAACAAACTCTTCTCAGCAGGAGCAGAAACAGGGCCCCTTGCTCTCATTTGCTGAGAGAGTGAAGGCACTGGGACCCTCTGCTCCCTGCAATACCTTGCCCTGTTCAAGGTGAGGATCTGAGGGTGCTTGGCTCCCAAGGGTGCCCCCAGTTCTACAGCAGCTCCCTGGCACCTCTCTGAGACTCATGAGCACCAGGCACAGCACTTTCTGGCACTTGGACCCCAGTGCACACAGGGCTCCAGCCCCGCAGAGCATCCCAGCACTCCTCCTGCGTCACGGAGTTCAGCTCTTACAAAACACATGCAGTTACGAAACAGCGGGTTCCAGGAGCTTCCCCTTCCAGCTTAGTTTGCATGACTAACTTTCCACAATTAATACTGGTATTTCAATTAACACAAACTCAGAGGAGTTGCAACATGCATGTGACATGTCAACACGGGGGATTATGGTACAAACATTACGCCCTTGGAGGCTGCAGAGGAGTGCCCACATACTGGAGTGATCTGGTGGTTAATGGAGACCAGGACATTGCCCA